GGAGTACCAGGTGCTGCTGGACGTGAGGGCCCGGCTGGAGTGTGAGATCAACACGTACCGGGGCCTGCTGGAGAGCGAGGACTGCAAGTGAGTATGAGAGCAGCGATTTCTTCCTTTCAGTAGGCGAGGATGCTGTGGTGATGAATAATATTCTTGAAGGAAATGTGCTTATAATTTTGAGCTTTGGGTTCCAGTCAGCCCAAGGAACAACATTCTTGCATGAAGTGTTTTTAGTATCTTTCCATTTCTTCAGTTTATTCACCTCTAACTTGCCCCAATGATTTTTCTGTCTCCAGGCTGCCCTGCAACCCCTGTGCCACGACCAACGCATGTGATAAGCCCATTGGACCCTGCGTCACTAATCCCTGTGCCCCCTGTGGTCCACGTGGCCGATGTGGGCCTTGCAATAGCTTTGTGCGGTAAAGAGTCACCAGCAGGAGGAGAAGGGCTTCGATGATCAGTCTCAACTCTGCTTCAGCTAAATATCTCCAAGATCACCCAAGCTGTGATTAGGCCTAAACCCACTCTACCAGCACAAGCTCTCAGGAGCAACTCTAGCCTTCCACTGAGTTCCTGGCCTGACCTTTGTCACTGAAAGATCTACCTGAAGGGCCTAGATGCCGTACAGAGACATCTATGAAAATACCTATTGTCAAAATGGCACAGCTATAGAACATATACCTAGCAAACACTTACCTAAATGTGATTTGAAAACAATGTCGTTAAATTGGATATAGCGAACAGGCACACTCCTGATTGGAATGTCATTAGGAGAAATAGTCCTTGTCACTCTTTTGATCTTTGGAGATACAATAATGAGCCTTTGTTAACCTCCTAATAAACTCGTATTCTGCATAAAAATAAGAATGGTGTTTTTTTTTCATTCATAAGTTCTAAAATGGATTGTTGTTAGTAAATAGGAAGGAACTAGCATTCTCCTGTCTTACTCCAATAGACATCCCTAGCCATCACCTATTGATATCACTTACATAAAATCTCCAGAATATGCAAAAATACACAGACTAAAGTTTTGTTAGTGGCTCCCAGAGGCAGGAAAAAGGTAGAAAGAGGGAGTTACTTCTTGTGCAACAGCAGGTGCATGTTTATGGTGATGGAGGGGTTGGCAGAAGTTATCCATGATGGTTGTGCATCATGATTAATATTACTGATATCCCGAATTGAGCACATGAAAGTCATTAAGTTGGCTAATTTTGTACTCTCTCTCTCTCTCTCTCTATGTATACATATTCACAATTCTAAAAAATGACACCCAAATAAAAGCCTGGAGCAGAAAAAAAATATAGATATATTTGGAAGTAGGAGTATATTTCTATTATTTATATGTAGGAGTATATATATTTATATATATATAGTTGTTGTTGTTGTTATGTGCCGTCAAGTCGCTTGTGACTCATAGCGACCCTATGTACAACAGCCCTAAACCCTGCTCTATCCTGTGCTGATAGCATTGCCTCTGACACACCCATCCTTATTACCCTAGTCACTGAATCAATCCACCTCATAGAGGGTCTTCCCCTCCTGTGCTGTCCCTCCACCCTCCTAAACGTGTCCAAAGTATGTCAGACGAAGCCCCAGAATCCTTGCCTCCAAGGAGTAGCCTGGTTTAACCCTCTCCAGGATGAATCTGTTTGTTTTCTTGGCAGTCCAGGGTACATTCAATACTCTTCTCCAGCACCACAGCTCAAAGGCATCAATTCTCCTTCTATTCTCCCTAGTCATTCATTGTCCAACTTTCTGATGCATAACAAGTGATTGCAAAGACCACGGCCTGTATCAGGCGGACCTTAGTCTCCAGAGAGATACCTTTGCTCTTGAGTACTTTAGAGAGGTCCCTAACAGCAGACTTCCCCATCGCAATACGTTTTTTGACATATATATTGTGTGTGTGTGTGTGTGTGTATTTGGAAGTAGGAGTGGCATCCACTTCCTAAATAACATACCTCCAGAAACTCTATGAACTTTGATAAATATTGATAGTTGTAGAGAGGCTTCAGGCCTTTTGTTCATTGGGTTGCTATGAGTTGTGCTCGACTTGAAGGCAATCAACAACAATAACTACAACTATACACACACACACACACATACACACATATAGACCTTTTTTTTCACGCTTTCAGCTACTGAAAAGAGAAGAGACAAGAACTCTCCCCTCCCCCAATTCCATGATCTCTAGGTAGCCTGTATCAGCAGTCTGGACATAAGATGCACAGTCTCCTGGGTCATACTCATACCTTCCCCAGACTGCTGCTCTGCGAGTGTGTTTCCTCAAAACAGATTTAAAGTCCTCCTCCACTCTTTACTCCTAGGAAGATTTATCTCAAAGAAATATTTATGTTTAGAGAAAGTCCACTGATTCTCACATTCAACAGTCTCTAAAGAGCGTGGTTTCTGTTTCTCAGAATCAGGTATTTACTCTTCCCCAGATACATTTGTGTTCTGAAAAAGGAGTGGTTTCTTCTATCTCTGTCATGTTTTAGGGAAGTTTAGAGAATCCCAGGGCTGGGGATCAGAGAAGAGTTAGCGTCAGTTCTTACTGAGAATTGGCTTTGACTTTTGAAAGCTGATGAGGGTTAGTAAGTTTTGACAGTAACATTACAAACTACTCCCATCTCAGGCTCCTTCGTTGGTTCTCTGAACATTACCTTTTTTTAACTATAAAACCAAAGCATAACTTGATAAATGTTCAGAAGTGAGAAAATCCAGTAGTGTACATGTCTCAAGACCTGGGCTTAACCAGTTTCTTCCCCCTGCTCCTTCATTATATGGAAGTGCATGGACAGTGGAATCTTTGGGGTTATTCAGACATAAAAGAGCCAAAATTTCTCATGCAGTCTGGAGAAGCTGTAAGAAACAAGAAACTCCACACATCCCCAAATAGCAGCTGAAATACGGAAGTCTTGGAACCATGTATCTTAAAGCTATGAAAAGCAGAGGACCAAAAAATGAATTGCTGTTTGTGGTTTAGCAGAAGGGCACCAGAGGAACCACAGGGAAGGCAGAGCCCTAGGAGCAAGGTTTTAACAAACCTGGGAGTGGAAAGAGGACATAATAGTAGGCTCAGGGGAGAAATCTCCTTTAATTCTCACAGAGAACTCAGCTCCTGTCCACTAAAGGAGGGCTCAGTTCTCAAAGACTGCCAGAATAAAATAATTTCCAGATAAAAGTGATTTTTTTTTTGAAACAAATCACTATCTAGTGGTTGTAGAATTTTTTTGAGGGGTGAATGTTGGGGAATATTGTGAAGATGGATGGTTGGATGGATGTGGCAAGGAAGAAGGTTTAAGGGTTTCTTAGGGAATCTGCCACGCCTATGGAATTCATCTGTCTTGAAACAAATTTTTATCTCAGGAAAAAAAAGAAAGCCACTCCCCTAAGAGATTCTTCTTGGTGCCAGGTCGTAGGATATCATTGCAGGATAAAAGGATCAGTGATGGGCGAGCCACACACCACCTGCAGAAGATGAAGCAGATGAGGAAAAGCTTAGAGGCCAAGAGTGTGAGAAAAGCAAAGAGCCAGCAAGAAGGGACAAGAATGACTCAGCTGACTGTCAGCATCTCCAGTCATGCCACCTACTGAGTGCCAAGCATTGTTGCTGGGGATACAGGAAGGCCTTGATGGTCTCTGCCCCAGAGAACTTCACAACCTGGGCTCCATTATGTGATCAATCCATCAGAGCAGATGACTTAATACAGGAAGAATGAAGAAAACATCCCTACCAGAGTCCGTCTGACAATCTTCATGAAAAATACACTCGGCAGATATGGTGACTGTCAAGCTCACCTCATCAACCCTCCAGATGCCACCAGGGAAAAACATCGTGAAGGTCCTGCTCTGAGAACAGCTTTGGTGAAAGACGTGAGGACATCTGCATTCACCAGCCTCATGCTACAGGCCAGCCTTACGACCCATCCTCGGATTGGAGAGGTGTAACCACAACTTCACCTGACATACTTTGAGCATGTTGTCAGGAGGTGGCAACTGGTGGAAGAAATACATGATGGGGAAAGTAGAGGAACAAGGAAGAGCCTCACTGCGATGGGTTGACACAGTGAGTGCAATAGCAGGATCGCTGAGTTGTAGTCAGCTCAACGGCACCTAACAACAGCAAACTCAACTAAAAGTCAAACAATTTAATTCTTCCTGTAGCTCCCTACCCTCTTTCTTGAGCATTACTTTAGAAAGCTTCTCCTAATAAATTCCCTTCTTGCCTCCTTCTCCACCCTTCTGCTCAGCCCCCTACACCAGCTTTTCAAATTTCTTTCAATCCATTGGTAGCTCTCGTGGCCTAGTGAGTAGGAAGTTGTACTGTCAACCATTCCAAGAGTAGGTAGTTTGAATCCACCAGCTGCTCCAGGAAAGAAAGGTGGAAAGTCTCCTCCTGCGCATTTACAGCCTCTGAAAACCCCCCGGAAGGTCAGCTATGGTTCCTTACTTTATGGCGGAGAGAGTCTAATACCTGCAATAAACATTAGCCACCGTCTGAGGTTCATATCTGCTATGATTATGTTCATAAATTAGAGATAGTTTACTTACCCCTGTAGTAAGGATAAAATCAACTCTGCTAGTATTTTTTGAGACTTCATAACTTAAAATGCTGAACAGTTATGATTTGGGCCTATAATTTGTTATTTGAGGGACCTTATCTGGTGTTGACAGTAAAGTGTTCCTGCTGCTGAGTCTGTCTTAACTCATAGCAATCCTTCAGGACAGAACAGAACTGCTCCTTAGGGTTTCTGGGTTGTAAATCTGTTTAATTGTTATTGCTATTTGTTTTTGAGAGGTCTTTTTTTATTTATTGTGATTTGAGCAGAAACATACAAATCATATTTATTGTTTTTTTTGTTAAACCATTTGAACTAATTTTGTTGCATAATATTAATTACAATGTTGTTTGTTGTTGTTGTTATGTGCCTTCGAGAGGAGTACAACTGATAGCAGCCTTATGAACAGAGGATCTGAACCCTGTTCTGTCCTCACACATCCTGACACACAAGACCCCATTTCATCAATCATTGTGTCAGTCCACCTGGTTGAAGGTCTTCCTCTCCTTTGCCAACCCTCCACCATTCCCAGCATCATGTTCCACTCCAAGGAATAGCCCTTCCTAGCAACATGCCTGAAGTATATGAGGCAAAGCCTCATCATTCTTGCCTCCAAAGAGCACGTTGGCTGCACCCTCTCTAAGACATAATCTGTTTGTTCTTTTGGCCATCCATGGACTGTTCAGTGCTCTTCTCCAACATCACAGCTCACAGGTGTCAATTATTTTTGTGTCATCATTACTCATAGAGTAGCTCTCAGATGCATAGCAAATGATTGGAAAGACCATGGCCTCAATCAGACGCACCATAGCCCTCAAACTGACATCATTACTCCTCAATAATTTGGAGAGGTTCCTAACT